CTCCCTTTTAATCGAGTGTTATCTTATTTTGATTTCCACCTATCACAGCAAGCCTGTTTGCCTTCTCTCTCTTCCTCTTCCTTTCATCCCTGGTGACTTTTTTTCTTAACCTGTGGAGATAATGATTTCAGAGGAGAGAATATTGATATCTTAAAGGTATGACTTAAGAGGAGAGAATATAGATATCTTAAAGTTATCAAAACTAAGATGAAACAAGTATAGTTATATAAACTGTATTTGTATAATATTTTATAAAGAACAATTATATTTAATCTTTCCAGCATCTTGTGACATAGAAGCATTAACCCCTTTTGAGAAATGAGGACATGAAAGATCAGAGAGTTTAAATTACTCATGGAAAGTCATACAGCAGAATAGCCAATACTAGAAAATAGTATCCGGTCTAACCTTTGTTAAATAAGACTTCTTAAATGGTAGCACTCGTTCAAAAATTTTGACTGAGACAGACTAATGGAATAGAATAAAGAGTCTAGAAATAAACCTACACATACATAGTCAGCTGATTCATGACACAGGTAATGTTGAAGTGCAGTGGGGAAAAAGTGGACTTTTAAATCAATTGTATGGCTGTGTGGAAGAAAAATGAATTTGAATCCCTACCTTATGCCATACACAAAAAATTAATTTGAGATGGATAAGGACCTAAATATGAAAGGTAAAATAATAAAGCTTTTAGAAGGAAACAGATTATCTTCATGACCTTATCTATCAAACATTTCTTAAGTAGGCAAAGATTTCTAAAACAGGACAAAATAAAAATCAAATCTTAAAAAGCTGACAAATTGGTCTTCATTAAAATGAACTCATCAAGAGAAGAAAGTGAAAAAGCAGGCCACCAAATTGGAGAAGATATTTGCAACACATCTATAAATAAAGGACTCTATCCAGAATAGATTAAAAAGTCCTACAAATCTGTACAAATAAAGTAAGTCAACCCAATAAAAAAAATCAGCAAGAGGCTTGAACAGGCACTTCACAAAAGAGGTATCCAGATGACCAGTAGTCATATAAAACTTCATTAGTCATCAGGAAAATGCATAATAAAACCATGAGACCACTGCACACCCACAAGAATGACTAAATTTTAAAACTCTGACAATACCAAATGTTGACACAACTGTAGAGCAACTAGTGGGAGTGTAAATTGGTATAAACACTTTGAAACACTATTTGGCAGTATATTCTAAAGCTTGACACAGCAGATGAGATGTAAGAAAGTATATTCCCAGCAGTACTCTTCAATATAGCCCCAAACTGGAAACAATCCAAGTGTCCATCAAGAGTAGGATAGATAAATAAATTGTAATATATTCACTGTATTCAGCAGTGCTTTCTTAACCAAACTGTGGTGAAGGACCAGATTTTTTTGCCCTAACTATCAGAATAAAACTCTTTTTAATACAATATTACACACAATCTCAAACTGGAAAAATCTCTCTAAATGCTCACACACACTTTTTGCACAGGTGGTGCTGTAGATCAGTGGCAAATGGTATGGACCAACGCTGGTCCACAGACTGCACCTTGACTAGCACTGCTCTCAAGTGATGAAAATGAACATCTCAAGTGATGAAAATGTGTAGACTAGCTACACATAACAACCTGGATGAATCTCACAACCAGACACAAAAGAGCCTATATTTTATGATTTCATTCAAGCAAAGTTCAGTGACAACAAAAATCACTAACCTGTGATGTTAGAAACTAGAATTACCCTTGAGGAGCAGGAGATTGTCATTCGAAGAGGCCATGAGGGGAATTCTGGAGTTCTTGATCTTGACATTGGATCATTTTTGTGCTGGTTATATGAATGTGCTCATTTGTGAAAATTTATCTAGCTCCCCACTGATGACAGGGTCTCTTTTTTGTTTTACTTATAATTTACATTAAACATTATTGAACACCAGGGCACCTGGGTGGCTCAGTCAGTTGAGCGTCGGACTCTTGGTTTCGGTCTGGTCATGACTCAGGACTGTGGGACTGAGCCCCACATGGGCTCCACACTGGGTGTGGAACCTACTTGGGGTTCTCTTTCTCCCTCTCCCTCTCCCTCTCCCTCTCCCTCTCCCTCTCTCTCCTCTCTCTCTCTCCCTCTCTAAATTAAATAAATAATTATTGAACACCTATTAAACACATGCACTCTAAACTTCTGAAGGTACTAGATTAGTGGAGAAAGCAATGGAAATGCAAGTATATAAACAAATGTGGCATTACAAATTATGATTTTATGAAAGGAATCATAACAAGTTATAGTGATAGAAAATAAGGAAGAAACCTACTTAGATTAGGTGGACAAGGAAGGGGCTTCTCTGATGAAATATTTTAGCTGAGACCTGGGAAATGAAAAAGGGATTGGTGATGCCAAGACTGGAGGAAACAATCCACAGATTTCAGCAGTTGTTTTGGGTAGAGGAATAAAGATAATTTAATGGATTTATGGTAAAAGAGGGCATTGCAGACATAGGTATGACTTGGGAATTGGTGTTATAAAATGTGGGACAGGAAGAAATGGGCGGGAAAGAAGTAGGATTTTGGTTTACAGTTGCAAGTAAAAAGACCAAATTGGATAGTTTTGCAAGAAGCTTGTCTACATCAGCACGAGAAGAGAATAATTGTATCTAGAATAAAGGAAAATCTAGTTTTTGTTTTTGTTTTGAGAGAGAGCGAGCATGAGCAAGTGTGTGTGGTGGGAAGGGGTAGAGAGAGGGGGAGAGAGAGAATCCCAAACAGACTCCTACTCAGCACAGAACCCGATGCAGGGCTTGGTCTCATGACCCTGAGATCATGACTTGAGCCAAAATCAAGAGTCATACACTTAACTGAGCCACCCAGCACCTCAGGAAAATCTTTTTAAAAGGAAGTGCATTCCCACTTAATTTTCAGACCCAAGCAAAATCTGATCTTATTAAGAGTTAAGAAATGGAAGGAGTACCTGGGTGGCACAGGCAGTTGGGCATTGGACTCTTGGTTTCGACTAGGGTTGTGATCGTGGGGTCATGGGATTGGGCCCTACTTCGGGTTCTGGCTGGGTGCGGAGTCTGGATCCCTCTCTCCCTCTCCTTCTGCCCGTCCCCACTGCTTATACTTGCTCACTCTCTTTCTAAAATAAATGGATAAACCTTTAAAAAATAAAAATAAAAGGAGTTAAATGGAAGAATTTCACATGCGTTTCAGTGTGCTTCATGTAGTTTGGGGTAAGTAAAAGTGTATTTATATATTAGAGAATTTTGTTTCAGGCATTTGAAAATGGATGGCGAACGGGACAGTGTCCATATCAACCCTACCAGTCTTCGCATCTCTGGCATTCCACTGATTCTCTTTCCCTTTTCTCTCTTCCTTCCCCAACACACGATCATTTCATTATCACTCATTTCAGCTCTATCTTGTTTCATTTCTCCCTCATCATTCCCCCTCACCTTCAAATGTTCCACTGCAAGTGCTGAGCACTTCCTTGTGTATCATCCTCTTTAATTCTTTTATAACCCTAACAGTCACATATGTGTGGAGATGCGTGTGGGGAAACTTTGGCTCAGAGAAGCTATATGACTTGTCTAGGGTCACAACTTAGACTCCAGACTCCAGGTGCAGTGCTTTTTCCATTATGCCACTGAGGCCTTCGTCCCTTCCAAATAAACATATGATAGTTTTATGCTTAAAATACTGTCCTCTGCATTATGAGTAATGAAATTGTGCTCTATTGTTTGTTAGATGTTATAAAACACATCATCTCACATCTTATACATATGAATATAAGAACATATATGAATGTATGTATAATATGTGAGTATACTTCACTATACACAGACTTGAGATAAATATATACTGAAGTTTTTTAATTTTTTTTTAAAGATTTTATTTATTTATTTGACAGAGACACAGCGAGAGCAGGAACACAAGCAGGGGGAGCGGGAGAGAGAGAAGCAGGCTCCCCGCTGAGCAGGGAGCCCGATGCGGGGCTCGATCCCAGGACCCTGGGATCATGACCTGAGCCGAAGGCAGATGCTTAACCGACTGAGCCACCCAGGCGCCCCAAGTTTTTTGATTTTTTTATAAAGAAATAGTTTTTGAAGTAATTGGTGACTTCCTGAAGTGTAGCATGCGCAGGATCTCTTATAATTATCACTCATTTTATCTGTCTTCTTAATTACTAAAAATCTGGAAGAAGAGAGAGATGACCTTGATGCAGGTGATTAAAGAAATTATAGTGGCCCAAGAGCTCACTAAAAAATTTAGAGGAGGTAAACTAAGTGATTATTCATAACTTAGCTTATTTTCCTACTGCTTGCCTTTTTCCCTCTGACTCTCTATGTGTCTTTAATACCAATGAGTGAGTAAACATTGGGGAAAATAGGAGATTAAACTCAGATCACTTGTTTTTCATCACTTGCCAGTAATTCTGGGGGAATTAGCAAGATTTGGGGGAGCTAGGAGATTAAGAAGACTCATTAAAATGAAGTTGATAGATTATAGATTTTAATTTATTGTTTTTAAAAATTAAGAAATGAGGCATTAAGGATGTACAACCCACTCTTAAAATATCTGATAGCATTACATCTATTTGAACTTTTATAGCAATTAGTAGACTGGAACAGTATACTATCAAAAGAATCTAGGCTTTCTGGAAATGGCAAAGCATTAGGTGAATTGAATCTTAAGGTAAAACAGAGTGGGAAATGCGTGGATGTTGATCATGCATCTCTTTCCCTGACATGCCCTGAGGGAGTGGCTAGATCAGCACCTTCTGGTTTCAGCCATTTCTGGAGGTGGTTGTAGCTCTTCATAGGAGACAGTAACCATTCACTTAGTATTGAGAACTTTTTCTACAGTATTCTGACTTCTATCACGTATGGTATAAAAATGACTGTTTAGGGGGGACAGATGGGCCATAAGATGACTCCCAGGATGTAGTGATACACCAAACTCCTTCATTAAGGCATTCAATCCCCAATTTTTCCTCTTGTCTTTTTTATTTGCTGTAGAGTGATTCTCATCAGTTCCGTGTCATGGCAGCTGTCCTTCGCCATTGTTTACTAATCGTAGGTCCAACTGAAGACAAAACAGAAGAGCTGCACAGGTAGGTAACCTCCGTGTTGGTAGCTTAACGAAGGACATCATCGATTCTTGTTGTTTTTATGCACCTAATTTTAGTTGTTAAAAGCACAATAAAGTGAAACTATTACAGTGAATCAGGTAACTGGTGAGAAATAATTACTGATGAGAAATTTTCATTCTATCCCCTTTGACTTTGTTAAATTGAGTCCCAACAAAAGAAGGGAATTTGGCATTTGTTGCATTCATCAGTAAAACCCAGAGTAACAATAATAATAGCACAATTCAGCAGTTACTGAGTACTATGTGTGACATGATGCTAAATGCTTTGTAAAGATTAACTTATTTCAATCAGCACACTCACCTTATGAGGTGTAGGTACTGCTATTTTTCCCTTTTGATAGGTGATGAAAGTGGGGCATAGAAAAATGAAGCAATGTCTTTGAGATCATACATCCTAGTAAGTGACAGGGCTCGGATTTGAACCCTGCTTTTCATTACTACGCTCAAACTAATAGTCTCACTGATTTCACTGTAACAGTATTTACCAAAAAGTATACTGTAAGCAATATGTATTAATTAAATTTTTAAAACTTACAAAAATTGGTTCACAGTCTCAAGTATTAATATTTAAAAAATAGTTCAAGTGTTGTGACTTGCCTTTTGGAACTCTTGGTGGACTACTGCTAAAATGTGTCATTCTGTGAGAACTGAGTTGATGCATTTTTCTAGTTCTCTGTCTATTCTAGATCAGGCTTGCAATTACAACACTTCTGACTTTAACATAAGACTGCTTATGGTGCTTTACTCTTTTAAAATACAAGTGGTATTTTCTTTTAAAGATTTTATTTATTTGAGAGAGACAGCGAGCATGAGCAGGGGGAGGGGCAATGGGAGAGGGAGAAGCAGACTCCCCACTGAGCAGGGAGCCTGACTCACCGGGCTCAATCCCAGGGTCCCAGGATCATGACCCATGAGCCAACAGGAGATGCTTAACTGAGTGAGCCACCCAGGCACCCCAAATACAAATGGCATTTTAAACAATTCAAATAAATTCAAATCTGCAAACAATTAACTTTGGCATTAACTCTGCTTTACAAATAAAATTGGATTCTTCTTAATAGTAGAAAGCACCTTTTGAGAATTTACAATATTCTGTTTTTCAAAATATGGCTTAAATAAAATTTCATAGAAACACAACCAGAGTGTAAAAATGAAAGATAACCTTAATTGTTATTTTTCAATGAAATCCTTATTATTTTAGTTATGATCAGCAATTTATTATTTGATATTACAGAGTTTGTTGATAGGTTATCTTTATGTACTCTGTCCTGCAAACATTAAAAAGATTATTTTCTTCACAATGAAAAAGTGTGATTTTTTTTTCTTCATCTATCGATCAAAATTTCCTTTAATTTTCTTGAGACTGTGCCTTTAAAAAATAATCAGATTAAGTTCAATAAATCATAGCCTCTAAAAAAACTTAAACATTTTGACTCACTATAATTTTTTTAATAATCAAAAGACACTAGAAATACAGATGCTAAAACTTTTTTAAAAATGGATTTATAATAAGCCCAGCAGTAAATTGACGGCTTTTTTTTTTTTTTTTTTTGGAAATCAGGTATCATAAGTTAAATGGCATTCATACAAGAATGTGAGGAGAAAGTGTTTTGGGAATTTTTAACACTAGTTACAAAAAACATTGCTAAGGATTTCTCTGATAAATTTAATATTTTAACACAGCACCCAGTATTTATCAAAAAAGAGTAAGAAGAGAGGTTTTAAAAAACAGATTTTTAAAAAAGTAATCAGATTTCTTTATTTTCCTTCTGATAATATTTGCTTTAAAATATTCTTAAATAAATTTTAAAGATATTTTTCTTTAAATTTGCTTTTATCTTAAAAGTTGCTCTGATAAAATATCTATTAGCTACACTGTAAATAAGAAGGGATATCCCTAGAGCCACAAACAGGATATAGAAGTATATCTCAAAGGCTTACCTAGGAGATTGAGGTTGCTGCTGACTTGACAGTTTATCTGGAATGGCCCTGCATGTCCCTTTAATCAGAATTAAAGTGATTAGTACCGTTTGAGTAGTGACTCTAGGCTAAGCCATTTAAATACAGAGAAAACTGCATTAACCTCAAAGGGCTATATTAGGAAACTTACTAGGATTGTAATATCCACTAAATTCTGCATATTTATAGTGACCCTGAAAATCAGGTGTGTGTTTAAGGCAAAGTTAAAAAAATCAGAATGTTTTCAAAGTACCATTTTGTTCCATTTTTTTTAAAGTTATTTTCTAAGTTTGTTTTTTTCTTTTTGACACTTTAAGGAAAAATGTAATGAAATAAGCAAACCTGGATAGTATATGATTATGCCTTGTCATTAAACTCAAAGAGTTGTAGCAATGAGTAAATGAGAAATTAACAAAGCACTCTGTCCCTGGCACTGAGGAACCACTCGCCAAGTGCGTGAGCTGCTATCACCTCTGCCATCACGCTGCTGCCACCGCCACTTCTGTTACTATTATTACAATAAGCACGCTGGCTTTTAGATCCAATACGGAGTTCCAGATCTCTTTTTAAAAGTTGTTTTTGATTTTGATATTTTGTTAGGAACTCATTTCTAAGTATATCCTGTGATCATGTAGAGAAATCTATTTTCCATTCATCTAAGTTTTTCTCAAGCCACATGTGTTCTATGATACATGCATGGCAGGAGTCGACTAGGCTCCTGTGAGTGAGTAGAAACATGGCTTGGCAGCAGCTTTTTCTGATGTGCTGTCTCTGTACAACAGTGTCCTTTTTTCCCCCACCCCCAGAGCAATCAAGAGGACACGACATAGAGATAAAATGAGTTCGCTCGCATAGACTGCTGACCTTAACCTTTATTTCCTCTAATCAGCATCTTAGATAGTTTTTAAAATCTACTTCTTTCATTTCCTTTTGTCTATACTTAAAGTAACAAGTAAATTGTTGGTTTGAGCCATCTTTTTTGATACATTAAAGGACATCCTAATTCTGTTCATCTCTGCTATCTTCCTGAAAGTATTTTTAGCCCTCTTGTCCATAATCAGTAAGTTTATGCATAAACAGCCAAAAACAGTTGCATGTAGATGTGGTTGTGGTTTTGTTTTATTTTAGAGAGAAGGGGGGAAATGGAAATGGCCTAAACGCTAGAAAGGTGAGGAGAGGAGAGGGAAGGACCAGATCTGATTTAATTTATTTTAGCCTCTCAATCTACTTTCTTTCACTTTGCACCTTGGCATCTACAAAACGCTTTCTTTTTTTTTCCGCACTCAGAGAGCCCGTGTGTCTTTAAAAAGTACTTACTTCCTTGCCTTTTTTGTTGTTTCTTTGCTTAGACTAATGTATTTTATCTCATATACTGAAGGAGACAATTTAGTACCTAATGATACCTCATTACAATCCTAGGCAATGTCTTTTTTTCCAGCTTTATTGAGATACAGTGGACATATAACATTGTTTCAGTTTAAGGTGTACAATTTGATAGATTTACATATTGCAAAATGATTACCACCACAGCACAATGTCTTAGACATGGCCAACTTTTAATTAATGTTTGAAAATTGAGGGGAGAGGAGATTGGGGGAATGGGTAAAACAGGTGAAGGGGATTCAGAGGTACAAACTTGCAGTTATAAAATAAGTAAGTCACAGGGATGAAAAGTACAACATAGGGAATAAAGTCAATAATATTGTAATAATGTTATTTAGTGACAGGTGGTAACTACACTTAAGGTGGTGAACATTGAGTTTGAGTAATGTATAGAATTGTCGAATCACTATGTTGTACACCTGAAATTAATATAACATTGTATGTCAACTATACTTCAATTAAAAAAAATTTTTTTTGTAGAAGTTTGAAAATTGGATGATTTCATTTTGGCTTCTACTTATTAACTGAGCACTTACTCTATGTTAGACACTATGTGGAGCTCAAGAACAACAAAGATGAATACAGTGTAATCTGTGTTCTCCAGGGCTCACCAGCTAGGGGGTAAAACAGACATGTAAGTAAATAAGTGCAGTTATGTTGATGAGGGTTGTGTAAGACACAGACAAGCTTATGTAGGTATATAGAAGACAAGAGAGTTTACTTTGGAGAGATCGGAGAAGGGGGGTCTTATTTTATTTTTTTGTTATCATTGAAGCTCCTAGCTCTTTAACCTGCTTCTTACTGTGAATAACAGTTATCTAGGTGAAGAGAGATTTTTTGAACTATCACTGAGCACCGTGCTAGGTGCTTGAAGGGCTCCACAGTGCATACTCTGGAGGAACATAAAGTCTAAATGAGGAGACAAGACATAAATATTATGAAAAGTTAAAAAATAATTCAAGGCCATAATTGAAGAGCTGTCACAAGATAGTTTTTGAGTAGTTTCCCAGTGAATTAATTGTCCAAATAATAACTGCTAATAGAATTTAAAGGACTAGCTCACTGTGGTCTAACATGAGGAGGAAAGTCTTCCTTACTCATACTGTAGTTGTTCTCCATCCTCATCCAGACCTCTGGTCTCCTGGTGATAGCTGTTTCTCCTACTTATGAGCCCCCTATGGGTTTACTTTCTTCCCTCCCTATTCTAAGGCATTGGTTCATCATTTCAACCTAATCTGTACGCCCTCGTCCATGTCCTGCCAGTCTTGAAGCACCCAACCCCAGATCTGTCAGGCCACCTTCTTTCTCCACTGCTGCAGGTGGCTCAGTCCTGTGGGACAGTTTTACCTAACCCAGCAGTTTGGTGCATCCTCTCCCCTGCATGCAGAGTTGTTTCTCAAAAAGCAGATCTCTGCTTAGAATCCTCTATGGCTCCCCTCTGTCTTTATGTTAAAGAGCAAGCTTGTATTGTCGTTTTGCATTTATTAATAATCTGCAGCCTTATCGGGGAAATCTATGTTTCCCTGGCTTCTACACCTTCTTTTTTGCCAGAATAACTCTGGTTTAAGGTCATCAGTAACCCATCTGGCTATAACCTACATCTTATGGCAGTCCCCTTTATAATATCCCTACCCCACTCCACACAGACATACATGTACTTTTCTGCTCTCATTGCCTACTAAGGCCCCTCCTTTAGAGGCCTTGTCCTCTGCTTTACACTGTATACTTAGCACCTAGCACAAGGCATAGTAAATATTTGTTGTGAATGAAGTGAGGTTTAAGCTAGTCTTAAAGAATGAGAACATGCTAGGCAGGAGAACACATGGCCAAATACAGAAAAGAGTTTGTGTCTATGGCACATTTAGAGAACAATGACCAGTGACCAGGTTGCTGTGGGTTAAAAAGCTATGCTTTGCTGAGAGCAGCATTCAGGGGTCTTTCCATCCATATCTTATCCAAAGTTTTCTTGACACTTCTCACCTGCAGCTGCTTCAGTCTTCTCTTGACTATCTGGTTCTTCTGCTGTTCTCTCTTGAATTTGATCTACTTGGGCTTTGGATCCACTGCTCCACCAGAATGGCTATTATTGAGGTCACTAGTGACTTCCATATTGCTAAACCCAGTGGACATTTTTCACTTGTCATCTTACTTGATCTGTCCACATCATTTGACAACGTGATCACTCCATTTTTGCGTATATACTTTCTTCCAAGATACCATTGTATCTTGGTTTTCCTCCCACCTCACTAGTTGTAATTTCTTCCTCAATTCCTCAGCCTCTAAACAATAGAGTGCCCCAGGTTCAGCCCTCTTAGTTTTTCAGTCCACACTCATTCCCTCACTGATCTAATCCAACCCTTTATCTTCAGACACCATCCGCATGCTAATAACTCTTCAGTTTCTATCTTTAATCCAGATCTCCCCCCCGAACTTCAGACTCTTGCAGCTAACTTCCTATTAACATCTCCCCTTGGAAGTCTAAGAGATACCCCCAACTTAACATATCCAAAATTAAACTCAATCTTCCCCTAAAAACTGCTTCTCTGGCAGTGTTTCACATTTCAGTTTATGGCAACTCCAGCTTTCCACTTGATAAGGCTAGAACTTGGATTCTCATGCTTCACAACAAGCCTGTCAAGAAATGTCTTTCAAAATATATCCAGATGTAACCACTTCACTGTTATCATCATGTTCAATCCCCTGAATTATTATAGTGACATCCTGATTCTTCTCACCTTTGATGTCCTACCATCTGTTCTCAATGCAGTAGTCAGAGTGACCCGTTTAAGGTAAATAAGAGTACATCACCATGCAAGACCCTACAGTGGCTCCCACTTCACTGAGAATAAAATTAAATTACAACCGCCTCCAGTGCCAGTCTGGCCCCTATACCTGTCTGATCTCCGCCT